AGGGCCTGGGGGCCGACCTGGTGGAGGTCCAGGAGGCAGAAGACGAGGCATTGGACCCCTCATGCCTCCAGGCATCCCAGGAGGCCTCAAGAACGGAGGAGCACCTAAAGATAACAGAATATATCATCTAAATGCTGCATGTGTATGTGTGGAGAATGAGCACAACCAGCACATCATTAAAGGTTCAGGGACTTATTATAGCATCCAGTTCAGAGTTGGAGCATAGTATCCCAGCTAATAAATGTTATAACCCACCTGGTGGTGGGCCGGGAGGCGGGCCAGATGGAGGACCAGGAGGCCTCATTGGAGGAGCTGGGGGTGGACCCAGTGGTGGAGGCCCAGTCATTGGTGGACCTTGCAAGTGTGGAGGCCCTTGCTGTCCCACCGGCCCCGCAGGAGGGGGCAGGCGCTGATTGGCCATTAGGTGGGGCTGGTTGTCCCCTGGCGGTCCCCTGTCCTCGATGTCCGAGCTGTCTGATTCATCTGTGTATTCCTCCTCTACCTCTTCTTCTTCCTCCTCTTCAGGAACTGACTGACCTGAAGACAGAAAATAAATCGTACCATGTTATCAGAAATAGAAATGAAGGTGTAATAGCTTAGTAAATATGCAGCAACGACACTAGTTTCCTACAGTACCTGCCATCCTTAACATCATGGCCTGCAGGGGGGTAATGGCCTTGGTCCTCTTCACCATCCTCTTTTTCTTCCGCTTTCCTTCACGGGGTGCCTCTGCAGGCATGTCCGCGAAACGTACACTGCGCCCTAATGTTGTTGGACAATAACACATTTATCAAGAGAATATATTAGTGGAAGAACACCAAGTCTAATCTGTATAATTTGTCATTGTGCACTGCAGAGCGCCACCACACACAAGTACAACTTGTTACTTGTTTGATGTTTGACCATGATTGTTTAAAATAATAGATGCACTAGTTTTCTAAAACTGATGTGAAATTTAAAATAAATAAATAAATAAATAAAATTAAGTTTTAAGGGAATTTGCAAAAATATGCTGGAAGTCTTCTGAAATACTCACCCGCATGTCTTTCATTCCTGTCTCTATCCTCCTCTCTTTCCCTCTCATCATCCTGCCTGTCTACACTCATTCTCTGGTCACCATCTCCGCCTTCATCTCTCTCTTCTTCACTGTCCTCCTCAGAGTCGCTTTCGTCATCGTCCACATCATCCCGATCTCTGTCGCTCTCACTGCCACTGTCGCGATCTCTTCCCAACTCCATAGCAGAGTCCTTTTCCAAGCCAGGAATGGAAGGCTCTGTTCAGGGGGGAAAAAGAGTCAGGCCAACAAGTACAAAAGGTGAACAGCAACACAATGATGAAATCACGCTCCTGTTATTATTAAAAGAAAAATTCTGAAACGTAATCATTAAGGGAACTGTTGGTGCGTTACCCATGTCTGTGCCGTAAACTCGTCGGGTAGGAATGCCATACAGTGCCAGGACCTGTGGAGGCGGGGGTCCAGGCGGGGGCCCAGGGGGCTTCCTCCCTGGAGGTAAACGTGGCACACCTGGCACTGTGGCCAAAACCGGGCCAGAGGCTGACGACAGAGGTCCTTTACTGAGAGATTCACAAGAACACAACGACCTCAGTGATAACACTCTGAGTTTACCTACAAAAACCTTTAACATACAAAATAATGCCTACCCAAAAGTGGCGCTCTTCTTTAGTATGGAAGGAGGCTGAGCTCCTGGTAGTGGGATGTCCTGGATGTGGATATTGGAGGGGGCATGAGGCATATCTGGTAAAGGAATACTGTCAACCTCCACTGACTCCGCATTCTGAAAAAGAAACATGACAGTGAATAAAGAGTCACCACGAAGCCGAAGCATCTTCCATTAAAGTTCCAATTCCAACAAATGCTTGACGTGACATAAAAAACATGCAGATGCATCCAAACACACCTTGACTGAGTCAAAATAGAGAGCCAGCTGCCCACGTTTAGTCTCATAGTCCAGTTCCAGTTTACGGAGCTCCTTGTAGGTGTCAGGATTCTCCCTCTCGTACAGACGGACAATGCGTTCAAATGTCTCACGTAGCTTCTTCCTCTTGTCCCTCAACACTTTCTCATTCAGCAAGGGCTGCTGAACTGGGTTGAACTCTGTTGAAGTGTTACACAAATGCTTTATTTTGTAGCAGAAGCAGCAAATCAGTTGTGAAATTAAGTGATGAAACGTTACGAAAAATATTAATATTAAAAATGAAACCTTCTCATTTTAAAGTAGAATAACTAAAGACCTAAAATACATGCAGCCACAGACCCATTTTTAACTGCATAAAAGCCAGTTTAACATACACATTCAGCACTCTCACCCATCTCATCCAGCTTCTCCATGTCTCTGATGATCTGTCTGGGGTCCTTCATCTTCAGCACCGCCGCTCTCACCATCATTCTCTGCTTCTTGTTCTAGCAGGAGCATTTTCAAAGGAAGCAAAATGTTACCAACACAATAAAATCACAGTTGTATTTAAGTGAATCTTATGTGTCAAGACTGCGGGTACCTTTTTTAACTCCCTTTTTCTGGCCTCCTTTCCTGTAGAGAAGGTAGAGAACAAGTTTACATTAGTTATCATTGCAGCATGTGACAACAACAGACTGATCATTCTTCAGGTATTGTCCAGCAGGTCGCTGCAAGAGGAACCAGCTCTTGGTCGGGGTCTGTACTTACTGGCCTGGTCGGTGGGGTTCATAAACTTCCCACTCTTGGTGGAGGAGGTTGAACGTCGCCCCATTGTGCCGGTGCGTCTCCTTCACCCTGCAAAACATGAATACCCCAGCAATGATGACAGGTGGAATGAAACCAATGCACATCTGCACCATATATTAGCACTTTACAATCAATTCAAGGACGTGTATGTAGACAGGACAGAGCATCTTTGACAGAATGGTCATTTTGTTAAACACACTAATACTAATAACCTTTGATTCATAGAAGTGAAGCTGGTACAACTCTTATTCAGGAGAATGAACACTGCACGCCTTAAGACGGCTAGCCACTGTTAGCTAACAAGTTAACAAAGTTGATGGTGAACGCATTAATGAATTAAAACTAACGAACAGGCAACATCTCTCTGTGTTACAAACAGTGTCATCGAGGGCGGCGGGCGTTTAGAGCGGTCAGCATACACCGTACAGCCAGTGGATTCAGTGAAACAGACATTAAAGCTCATTCAGTCGAGCAGCATCTGGTTGGCACGTTAGCCGGTTAGCTAGCACTTGTAGCTAGGGCCGCGTTAGCATCGGCAGCAGAACTTCACTTTACCTTTTATTTAAACACAACCTGTAGAGCGCGGCGCCCTACACACGCACCCCTTGGTACCAAAGTGAAGTCAAACGTGCTGTTTAAGCTCTGAAACGGGAATCCAAAGCCTTCAGGACTGGATGTGTTCAACGGGCTCGTTAGCCGTCCGCCATGTTTACTGCCGCGAGCGAGAGCGGAAGAAGAAGCTCGTGTGACGTCATCAAAACAAGTTCGCGCTGGAAGTATTAAGAACTATTTATTTAATGTATAATTAATATTATCTTATATTACTTTTCATAGATCAATTATACTGTTGTGTTTTTTCTTATTTATTTATTTTCCTCTTTTCTGGTTCGTTTGTGTGTTTTTCTCTTACTCACATAGCCTACAGTTTTAAATAGGATGGTTGACTTGTTGTTTGTATATCTACTGTTCAATAAAGCAACTTAAAAACTATATATGCTGGAAGCAATTCTCCTTTATTTGAGAATAAAAACATTATTGGTATTTTACATCTTGATTGATTATGTGTGTTACTAAGTATAATGTATGATGTGTATTACCAAAGTAAATGGTCACTCACAAGGATACAGACATGTCTTGCTCTCACTAGCTCTTCATGTTTGATTATCACTTCTCCTACCTTTAAGCAGTTAATACTGGTAGCTGCACAACATGACTGACGTTAATATCAATTTTCAACCTACAGTGACAAACAGACGAGCTAATTTCCAGTAATAATGTGAATAATGTGGCAGCAGTAATGTGACTTTACATTTTCATACAATATATGGCGAAATACTGGTTCAGAATAATTTTATTGAAAATGTATTTGGGAATATGGAACACTAAAGCACAATACCAACTGACTTGGTAAGGGCCTTAAGGGGGGGTCACACTTTATTTCCTGAGTTACAGGCCCTGTTTCAAAGAGGGCAGAATCTGTTTTTAAAACCTTTAATTATTTTAATGTTGTGTTTCTCATTTAGCAGTGAAGTTCCAGATTTGAATTAACTGAACACAGCTGGTGTCCTGGGCGTCCTAGGAATGAAAGTGTTCAAAACTCACGAAAAATGCAACGAGTGATTGGCTATTGTAGAAACATGGCTTTTTAACATGGCGGCCTCCATGGAATAAAACGCAGCATCTGTAGATAAAAATGTCTCATTCTAAAGTAACAAAACACAATTATTCCTATATTCAGGTGATTATTCACTAATGAAAACATACCTATGAATATTTTATTAAATTTTTTCCAATAGCTCCTGTTAAATATTACACAAGGGACCTTTAAGCTGTATGCCGGAATCTGCAGGTATAGAATGAAACAGCAGGATGTTGGCAGAGACTGTAGGTGGAGGTTTGGGCTGCATTTCTCTTCTACAATCTGTAGGTGGAGGTGGAGCTGCATAAAACTTTATGCAGCTGTCTTTACTTCAAAAATGAATGTGAAAACATCCTTCTAGTGTCAAACTATACACAAACTTCTTTCTGCACAGTGAAGATCAAACATCACACTGTAGGAACAGGAATGGAGGAGGACATCAAATATTTTCTGAGAAATCAAATTATTACAAAAAGTTTTCAGTTTTGGCGTTTGATGTCAAAGACACACCATATTTGCAGTAGGGGCATTATTGTGCGCATGTAAGCGCACCATATCCACCATACTGCATAATGCTCTTATCCCTAAAGTAGATAACAACAAAACATAGCAACAGAGAGTAATGCAACACATTTTATTGTACCATCACTTACACCTGAAACAGACTACAAGAAACATAAACAGCTGTTCAAAACCAAAGTATCCACACAACAAAAAACACTTTGACCACCACGAGCAAGGCCTCATAATGTCACACACTTCAGGGATGTCATGATGTCTTGCATTTAATCATACTTTACAATTCAATTTCACATTTTGGCCAAAAGATGGCACTATATTGGCTGCCAAACTTATTATGTTTTCCACAGCACTAAAGGCAAAAATAAATGTGTTATTACCCCACAGTGACCTTTTGCATTGCCTGCAATCCGAGGTGATAACAAGCTGCTTATTTGTGAAAAGTAAATATCAGATTCATATTTTCAGTGGTACATAGTAATGACTTAAAGTTGTATTTCCCTAATCTGATGTGTTTTTTTCAGGTGTGGAAGAGGAGAGTGGACATTTATGAGAAAAGCTTTCCCATTATCTGTAAAGTCTTCAGACAAAGACTTGAGTGTCAACACAGTGTACTGTTATACACACTGGGTAAATACAAAAGCGCTTCATTCATTTACATTTGTGCAGCACCTTTGAGAAGTGCACCATCCAAACACAGCAGGGAAAGTTAATCAATTGTAATGAGGAAACCAAAAATAACTAGACAAGTCCATTGTATAGCTGTAGATCACTAACAGTCTGATAAATACAAAAGATAAGTTTATGCTGGTAAATAGGCCACAGTTCCTTGTTCCGTGTGAGAAGAACAAGTTTGACACTACCGTCAAGGACATTCCTGGCTTGTTACAGTTTAGCGTGCATCCACTTAAACCTCTGGGAATATTTGATTCATGATTAAATAAGAAGCAGAAGCAGTAATTGAGGGCAGTTGAAGCTTAAATGATGTTTGTTAGTATGAACTCGTTTGACCTCAGATGCATAACAAAGAAGATGTAACAATCCCAGAGTGTTACCGTCACCTTACGAGAAAACCTCGAGCATTTTTACTGTAAACAAACACACCTTCCCCGCTATTACTGGCAAAGCCAACCCCCACTGAAACCTGTCAACTCACACACCAACAGACAGATATGCATACAAAGACATCCTTTCACAGGTTTAAGGAAATATTACTATGCAAAAAGCAGCAGTTGGAATAAAATACATAGCAGTAGTCCAGATTTAAAGATACTTTTTAAGCTGGTGTTTATATCCAAAAGAGTACATTTATTAAATTAATTAATTTCAACAGTAATCAAATCTTTGAAAACCACCAGTTATTCCATCATCTTAGTAATTTCACTGTCCTACCTTCACAATAAAATATGATTACTCTAATTGTTGACTAAATGCTCTGGTCTCTATGGGCTGCTCCTGTTCAAAGTAGATTATACATATATACCCCCAAAATAACTAGACAAGTCTATTGTACAGCTGTAGAGCACTAATAATAGTCTGTAGAGCTATATAGTTACCATTTCAGTATCTATTAGTCAATATATTTATACACTGATATATCAATTTTGGTGAAAATAATTACCCTTTTAAATGGATCATGTATTGCCCAGATAAAAACTCTCGCTAACATTATAAAAGTGCAAGAATGCACTCACATTTGCACAAGCCCTCTCACCTTTCAGCCAACTGAATAGGCCTTGACTCTCTGAAACTCAATAACAGATTTGGCTCCTGTGCCAACAATGACAACATTATTCTGAATCAACCTACTAGAGTTGGTTGGTAGCAATTGTTACATTTAAGTGACATTACGAAATCCCTACACACTGAGCTACTGCCGCCCAAAGATACAATGAAATACAAGTTATAAAATTAGGTTATTGGGAAAAGCACACAAAAAGCAGACTTTTGAAAAGGGGCATTTTGAATATGAAAAGTTAATTATGAAATAAAAAGGAGCTTCTATAAAATTCATTTCATATTTTATAATAATGAGCTGCATCTCAATAATCTCTCAAATAATTTTACAAATTATGTGCTTATTCATTTCAAGTTTATTTGTTTGTTTAGTGACACTGACCACTTTAGAGCTCCATAATAACTGAGGTTTTAAACTGAGGAAGAAAAGTGTATAAATCATGACATAAAACTAAGATTGTTGCATCATAATTCTAAATAATCATCACAACAGACATAAATCCTTGTTTTGTGACAGGTGACAGATTTATTGTTCATAGATCATTTCCAATACATATGTAAGAGCAGCTATTCAGTGCAAATCCTTTTTTCACGTGTTAGCAAGAAAATAACACACACACTCACACACACACAGTAGAATAAACTCTTCTTCCTCTGACATCATATGATAAGAAAATAAAGGTGCCAAGTGCAAGTACTGTGTAGAAAGTACATTAATGACAGCAGTAAATAAGTACAAACACAATACATGATTATTTTTAAAAACATTTTCTCTATCGACTTCCAATATGCAGCTGGATCAGCGTTGTGTCATTTGAATCCATTCAAAAGTCTAAAACTCTTTGTTACATTGCACTTCATGACCCTTAATGATGGTGAACATCCGTTATGTCCGAGAGGCTGCAGCAGTCTCCATGTGATTATGTTTTAGGGCCGCAGGTGCATTGGTTTTGGATAAACATAGATGCTCGTGTTTCCCCAAGTGCGCAACCGGGAGTCCAGCCAGCTGCTTTGAGTGTGGCTCTGAATCACCTCCTCTTCCTCCTCTTCATCACTGGATGCTGCCACGTCTTCCTCCTCTGAGCTAGTCTTTCCAGTGCTGTCTCCCCTCAGGCGAGACGTGTCATCTTCCTTGTCCTTGTGGCAGAGATTGCAGATCCTCAGTTTCTTAGTGGGGTGAATGTGGTCTATCAGTGCTCGATGTCTGGAGCACTTATTGCAGACCAAAAAGCCACATTTCCTGCAGTGGTGTCTACGGTTGGTCGCGGTAAACTTTTTGAAGCAGCACATGCATTTGTAGGCGGCCTGGTCTGGGATCCAGGAATTGGCAAAGTTGGACCCGGGTTGGAGGCCGCCTCCCTGCAGCAGGCTTGTCCGACATTCTTCGATGTGCTCAATCCAGGCCTGCTTCTCTTCGTATGAAGCGGCAGACACAAAAAAGGACTTGCGTGGTGTACGGATCAGCCATTGGTTCTTCAGTTTCACACCGTCCTCCATGTCCTCCAGCTTGATGTCCTCTGAAACCACAGTGCAGATGGAATGTTGATAACAAGTACAACATTTCAACATTTCTGTGTTTTATGTGGTTCATGAACAGCTCTTTAGCTAATTTCTGTACTACGGGCATAAGTTAGAGGTATGGCTGTTATATCCACTATTGGAAGTGAGTGAAATCATCAAAATGACAAATCAATGCTGAAAAGTAAATAAATACTTTAATGACAAAAAAAAAGAAAAGACAAATCAACATGTGTTCTGACTTGCTCTTTGTGTTACTCAGCAATATATATTATTTTGGTTTTATAGAGTAGTTTTTTGGAGATATCTGCCTCTGAAACTACTGCAGCTGCATCAATGCAATGGAGGTAAATGGAATTTCATTTTGTGAGCATTAAAAAATTACATTTAACAAAATCAAAAGGTTTTGCAGCACTATAGCAATGACAAATACATCAGTTTGTCATATTGTCATACAGTTTGAAGTGATACAGATGCTAGTTTGATCATTATCTTTTCCATCAAAGGACATTTTCTGTCTGACAGCTGTTTGTCTATTAATCCACAGTAGAAGCAGATAAGTTGCTCACCCAAAGGGATGATCTTCTGTTTTTTGTACCAGCGGCCGTTCAGAATGATGCTTCCATACACCAGCACATCGTTGAAGAGAAAGAAAACCTTAGGCTCAGGCTTCCGACGACCCTGCTTTATCAGGTGGCCCTCTCCCATCAAAATCCGACCTGGTTTGGATAGGGGACTCCCTGATGGACCAAATGAATTCTCCACCGCCTGGATACGCTCACAGTTCTCCTTATCAAATGTTAAAATGTCCATTATGGTGACCTGACATCTGTCGTAGCTCTGAGAACAGTGCCAGCTGCTTTTTAAAGCCTGTTGTCCTGATGACGCAACAGGACTTCCCACACTGTGGACAAACACGTTATACAAGAAATAAAAGTGAGGGAGAGCAGTGGGGCTGCATGCATTTGAAGTTAAAAGATTGCTTAAATTCTGAGAAAATAATGACATGACACCAGAAGTGAAAAGAAAGTACTACATTTTATACTGCTTTATACTTCCACTGTACTACATTTTATTACATTTTTTTTATTTACATCTCTTTAACAGATACAATTGCCAGTTTACTTTTTAGAAAATTATTTTAAAGCTGATCATATCAGCTTTAAGCAATATATGAAACCATTCAAGTGAGCTACACCTCAATTGATTACAACAAATTATAACTTTCATGTAATTCTTCAATAATAATGATAATTTATAATAATAATAACAGCTATCAGGCTCTTGTGATACTTTGTGAAGTTTATTGTGTTGCCTATACTTTATATAAGTAACATTTTAAATGCAACACTTATCACTTATATAATGGCATGGCACATCAAATATGAAATTGTATTGAAACAAAACTGAGATGTTACAGCCATAAATGCTAACGTTGCTATGCAAACATGTTAATGGTAAGGGGGTGTAATGTCTGAGGACCATGAATCCTAAAATAATTATACAATAAATTCAATAAGAAACAAAATGTCAGTTCTTTAAAGCATATTTTATAGTCAATGTCGCTGTTTTCAGTGCAATCATCAGCTGCCATAAACTGTCAGCTGCAGTTGTTTCCCTGCCACCGAGTCTGACAAAGATCCTCAGTGAAGCACAAGCCCAAGTGTCTCACTAAAGTGCAACATCAAAAAGATGAAGTTCAATGCTGTCTTACTGCAAATGCATAATGACAAAAGATCGGTTTGCTGTGGATTTAGTGATAGATTATAAACATTTGAAATTAGGCATTTAGGAGTTTTTATTAATAAATCTGACTGATGGTGGAGCGCCATACTGTACCTATTTATATTGGCATTTCTCTTCTACCAAAAATGTTTTGCTCTGGTCAGGGAGAACTTGGCTGAAAAGGGCTACATTAATAAAAAAAAGTTTAAGAAACACTGTCTTTTACATTAAACTATGTAACCATTTAAGTAGGTGTGACAAAATCTGAAATTTGGTATATCATTTGGATGAAACAACATGTAGCAGTAATCTAAAATAAAATGCATCACAAGAAACTAAAACACTACATAAAAAGTAATACTGATTCCACAACAGTCCGTGTTTTAAAATGCCACATTGTTTCATGAGACTGGTTGAGCAGCTCAACTCTGAGACGGTAAAAAAAATAAACAACCTTTCATCAAACTGCGGTTCGTCATTCACATATCACATTTCTCACAGAAATTCCTAAGTGTCTGTTCAGCTTCATTAACAGTGTCAACAGGTCAACAGTAACCTAGCAACCTAACCTATTATAAAAACAATGTGTGATAAAAACAGACATAGTAAAATGCAAGGGGAACTCCAAGGGGAAACACAAAACATATTACTTTTATATTTGGACAAAATAAATGCTTGTAGGCGGTGAGATCTCCGATTGTCTGAAACTGCAAGATGTTTGGAAACCACCTCTAGAGTCAATGTCAAGAAAGTTAAACAAATAGTTTGACATTTTGGGAAAAAGCATTATTCACTTTCCAGCTGAGAGTTAGATGAGAAGACTGATGTCACTCTTCTGTTTTTTTTGGTAAACATTAAGCATAAAGACTGGAAACAGAGGCAAAGTTGCTGCTCCAAGAAATCCACGCAACCCCAAGTAAAACGGTGCAGTGAAGGTTTTACACAGATTAAACCAATGGCATAAAACATGTTAATGAGATTGAGAGCTGGTGATTTTGTTACATTTGGCCAGAGCCAGGAGAGCTGATTCCAGTCTTTGTGCTAAGCTAAGCTAACCGACCTTCTGGACTGTAGCTTCTTATCTTACCATACAGAACATGAGAGTTGGTGTCAATCAAAGCTTTATTTCATCCAAATGACATAGGAACTTTTGTTTTCAGCTCACTCTGTATTTATTTGGTTGTGTTTCATTTGTCTGTTAATGCTAATAAAATAACTAAATGTAAAATTGAGTGTAAAGCACGAGAAAAGAGAAAATATGACTATTTTTCTTTTTGTCTCATTAGTTTATGTTTCTGTGGTAATCGTATCTCTCTTTCTCTGGTATCTCTGTCAAGTCCCAATGTTATGTATTGTCCTTTTGCACGAGTATAGAGAGAGACACCTGACAAAGATAAAGAAATAAGTGCATCAAAGTAGTTTCAGCTGTGATAGAGTACATGATAGACTTGACTAGATACTGTGATATCGAGAACAAGCTGGCACACAGCCTTGCTGGAACAAAAACAGAAGCAGTGTCATGAAAAAATACCCAAACCCGGTTCTCTCTGAATGTCAGGCACAGGCTTGTTTGTTGTTGGATAATGTATAATGTATAATTTTACAGCAATTCCTTTTGTATAATAGTGTAATGTTTAGAAAAAATTAATAAGCCAAACTTAGCTTTCAGTCTCTGGTTTATATTTTGAGTCAATGACCTTGTGTCAGAAGTACTACTAGAGAAAGTGTGTTTACTCTAAAGTCATCATTTACCAAATGTAATACTGGGTCAAAAAGCACTTTATATATATTTTCAAACATCATGAAAAGCATCCTACAGTTATATAAAGTATTATAGTCTTATAATTCAGTAATCAAACCATCATCTGTGTCACTTGTATTTTTACCCTTTTTTCCATTACACACTGTGGCACAAGGGGTGGATCTGGAGGGGTGGCATCTACTGCCCCAGCTGCCATCCCAATTTGGCATCAAATGCTGTCAAATTCAATCATAGTGTAGATCTATTTAAAAAAATAATGTGTTAAAAACTGACATTAATTTGGTGCTCTGTTGTTTCCAACAAAAAAATATACGTATGATCAACTTAGCTTGTACAGAAACGCAATTCCAGCTCTTCATTCTGTCCATGTTTTGATGGTTGCTTCCCTTTTTAAAAGCAATAGATTCAGATTCACTTCGTTCATTTTCTCAGTGCCTTGATGTGGAGACTAGAAAGAGTGTGGCTGTGTTTCAGAAAATTAATCTCTCTCATGCCTTGTTGTAAGCACAAACTAGACAATGAGGAGGAAGCAAATCTTTTAGATCCACTTTATCCCAAACTCTTTATCAAATGAGCAAATTGTGGTATTGCACTCTGGATTGGATCTGTATTATGTGAATAATGGTGTCTTGTAAGCCTATAGCTGTATGCCCTGCACAATAATAAAACTCATTCATTGTGACTCCTGTGGACATCTCTAGATGTCACAACAGAGACATCTAGTGGCCACAGCTTCTCAAAGCAGTAAATTAGAAAGTATTACTTTATCCAGAATCCCAGATGAGACTTATGTAGAGCAAACACACGGAAGAGTTTTATTTATCTTTATTTCATTTCATCACACTACTCTACAAGAGAAATTATAGAATTATAGAGACCCTTCTGCTTGAATCTTTATCCCCATATCTCTCACTTTAACATTTTCTGGCACACTTTTGGAAATGTTTTCTCATGCTTTTTGGCTTAACTGCAAAGAAAAAAAAGTAGAACCTCAAAGGTGAGCATTCTAATTTAATTTAAAAACAAAACACAGTTGATGATGAACCATGTGTGGTTTGGCTTTTAGTAGGGGATTGGTCCATAGTAGGCGGTGTAGGCGGCGATGATTCCCTGCGTGTCCATCATGTCCTCACAAGCCAGGTTGGCCTCACACACCTCTCTCAGGCTGAGTGGAGAGAGAGAGAGAGAGA